TCTTTCTTTCCTTCTTTCTTTCTTGGCAAATTGAAACCAGAATCAAGATATTCTCTAATATACATTTATTTTGACATTTTTTTCTATTACCTTAAAAGAATTTCAAACCTTTCCCTACCTTTTGTGAGGAAAGATTTGAGCACCATATTGGCTGAAAATATATAGTCACTCATATTATCCTGAGCGATCATTTATTTTTCTCTAATTCAACATATATTCATGTTTGGCTCAGATTATAGATCTAGAACAAATATACCCTAGCTATTCCTTTTGAAGCACACCTACCAGTTCCCTAGAGGTGGTGTGTGCAGAAGTTCCCTAATAGAGCATCCTCACATCCAGTTTGCTTCTGAACCTATCCTCCAGATATCGCTACTTCACCCCATTATGATCCAAATTCCAAATAAGTATGTGATATATGTAAAAACTCAGTATGTTCCTAACTATTTTATGATGCATCCATCTATTTTGTTGGGTCTTGTTTGTTCTGCTTTATGTGAAACTGTTTCTTCCTATAGCCCATGCTGGTCTCAAGCTTTTGATCCTCTTGCCTGAAATGCCCATAAGCTAGTATGATAGAAACATATGCCACCATGTCAGCTATGAGTGGACTGTCTACCTAAACCAGTCTAAATCATAGCAGAAAATATGAGGCTTGTGCACTTGGTGAAGGTTTATTAATCTTATGAGGGGTATACAGATCACTTTGAGAATAAAATAAAAATATATACAAAAATTTCCAAAAAACATAAAATAATCATAAATTTGCCTGGCAATAGAGTATTTGGGGTTTGAGTTTTCGAAAACATCAATCCATGGACCTGGGTTATAAGCCTAAGGTCTAGAAGAGCTTTTTATATTCTGTCTGCCTCTTCAGACACTTAAGAAAATGATAATATATTCCACAGGATTTAGAGCAAGACCTTTCTTTGGTTTAAAAATAGCAGCCCTAATTTTAGTTATTGATCTTGCTTAATGTGTGGATGCCTGGAAGCTAGAAGCAATGGAAAACCTAATGCAAGCAGAAAAATATGCTTAAGAAATTCTTCTTTGTTTTTTAAAAAAGTTTATTTTTGTAGGAGCAGTTTAAAATAAATCTAGAGATGGTTTTGTTCAAGAGAAATACTTAAACAATGGACACTTATTCAGAAGCAGGTGATCTATGTCATGTAGCACTGTAGCAGTTTAAAACATTTTCAGCATGAGAATACATAATTTTCAACTAAGTCAGCTATACATTTATTTTTGGTAAAATAACAAAAGAGTTTAGAAATGGGACAAATAGTTTCTACCAAAACAAGGTATCTATACTGTCTTCACACATGATGCTTTTTAAAGAATTGGAAAAAAATGAGCTAACATTCATTTAAGTAACTGTAGATTATAGTCAGCTTTAAAATTTTCTGTATGTACAGAAAAATTCTGAGAATGTAGAGGTATAAAGTAGACAAAGATAATTATCTGCATTTTTCAGAAGTAACAACTATAAACATATGATTATGTCATTTTAGCTATTTTTGTATAATATAAAAATATTAAAAGACTTTGTACATGGATTGGAAATGATTTAACTGTCAATTGAAAATGGCATCTTTGAGTGTTATAAAGTTTGCAAATTTGATATATAATATTCTCAATTGCTATTTAGTAAAGAACAGAATATTTGAAAAACATTAATATTACACTTTAGCTCTAATTCTTATTCTTGAATACATTAACATGAGCTTCAACAGCTTGGAATACACACTGAAATACTTTTCTGTGAACTGATTTAGTATGTAAGCAAATATATTAGTTTGGATGGCTGTTGTAATTGTTGACTTAATAACAGTTGATTTTTAATATATGATTTTTTATGTTAAGAATTCTCCATGCTAAAATACACAAACAATATATATTATGTAATTTATATTATATAATTATATATTATATATAATTTATGTATAGAATTTACTTTCATGTATATATGAATAAACGTTAAAATATATTAAATAAATTTATTTTTATGATAGATTCTGAGAAAAGTTTCTTGGTGAAATATTGTATGTCTTTTTCCTAGTTTTAAAGTGTTTACAGCCTCTAGAGAAATGTATGAGTGTATATATATATGAGTGTATATATATTATGTATATATATCCATAAGATAGGAGTACTTTAATATTGCCAATTTAATAGATTAAAAAGCATGGCTTTGAAACTGTCATTGCATTTTCTTGTATTCACGTTGAGACTGAAGTGGTTTCTTTTGTTTTGGCAAAGAAGCAAATGACTTTGGTTCTTTTTTAGAAATCAATCATTGGTTTGTTTGAATATTTTTGGCTTTTTGTATAATTGTTTTTGTGTTTATTATTTATTTAACAAGTTTATAAAGTGTGTGTATGTGTGTGAGTGTGCATATGTGTGCATGCATGTGTGTGTGTGTGTGTGTGCATGTTAGTACTGTGGCTTGAACTCTGACCCTCACCCTTTTAGGACTGTTCTTTCTGAGCTGCCTTCCAATTGCAAACCTCTGATCTCAGCCTCCTAAGTAGCTGGGAATACAGGACTGAGACACTAGGCCTGAAATTAGACAATGGAAATATTAACCTTTTTTATTTGCCATATTTGTAACAAATGTCCTTTACTTCACCCCCGTGATTTTGTCATTAATTTTATTCATCTAGAAAGTTAGAGTTTCTTAACAATTAACATTGTAATTTAAATGAAGAAAATCTATAAAAATAGTTTTCATTTTTAGTCTCAGAATGTATTTTTAAATGTCTTAATTCCATCTTCTACTTTTTGCTGAGTTACTATTTTAAAAGCATTTTTAATCTCTTAAAGATATTTTATATTAGATATTTCAAATTATTCATCAATAATCCTATTTATGTCTACCAAATCAAATTCCTTGCACTTCTCCTGAAATACATCTTTAAATAATTTGTATCACAAAATGACTACCATCAATATCTTGTTTTCTTCTAACTGTAAATTGATGTTTTAATTTAATATGGAATCCAGTTGAAAGTTATTTTTCCTGAGTACTTTAAGGATGATTAAAGAAGAAAATAGAAAAATTACAATTACTAGTATCATACACAATAATTCATTAAATAATTAGGCATATAAAAAGCACTAAAAGTTATATAAGTTCATAATTATAAATATTAGGAAGTTTGGTGATACTGGTTGATGAGTCAAAAACAAAAGCTTTAGGAATGATATTAAAAGTCATAGAAGTTTATGGTTTATTGGGTAATTTGGGTAAATTTTTGAAATTTACAGAACACATACGTAGAAATAAATCTACTTGATACTATTGATCCATAAGAAATATTAGAGGAGGAACTGGAAAGGGAGAAAGAATAAGGAAGTATTCCAGTTCCTGAGTCGGAAAATTTAATAACATGTACCTCTAGATTTTGTATTTTCTTTCATTTTAAAGATTCACTATGGTCAATTCTGGAAAATTTATATGCATTGTCATTTATGCATTATTTTTCTCATACTTGTGTGGTTTCTTCTGAACTTTCTATGCTGAATAGTCTCCACATGTTTTCCTTCTGTATTAAATCTTTTTTAATTCCATATCTTTTTTTGTCCATGCCTTTTTTGTGCCAATATGTCATCCCTCTTATAGTGTAATTATATTAAATGTCTGGAGTTGGGTTGATCTTTTTATTCCTGTTTGGTCATGACTTTTCCTCAGCTGGTCTATTTACTTATGGGGCTTATAATTTTTTATTATAATTTTGTCACCAGCAAGAATTGCATTCTAGGAGGAAATCCTTTCTCCCTGGCTTAAAATGATGTTTTAAAGTTTGCACCTTCCTAGATCCCAGGAATTCTGACAGTGGCTAAATATTAATTTTCAACTTCAATCATGTTTGTATCTAAATAAACATATCTATTGCAGAACTCAGTTCCTGATTTTGTGAGAATTCTGTCCATTTTGACAGCTACAAACCAAACTTCCATGTGCCTACCTTTTAGGCATAGAGGTTTTCTAGTCAACATTCCCCAGAGATTATATCCCCTCTAAGTTCCTAGGCTTTTGGAAAGAGGTTTCATCCTGGTCCTCACCTTGTGTGAATAAGGACTCTTATTGTCTGCTCTTTTATCTGACAAGCCCTCAGATTCCAGTTCCTCAGCATGCTGGCCCAGTTTGATAGCACTTGGACGTCAGTAGTAAGTCCATTTTAAATGTCTTATGGACTTGCAGATCATGCTCAGTTCTCTGTGGAGGCAAAACAGAAACAAATTCAAATCTTGTGTGGTTTTAGTTAGAGGGCTTGATCTCATATCATCTTGAGGATGTTCTTTCAGATCATCTTGAATAGAGATGAAGCTCTCTAAAAAGCTCCTTTATCTTTTTCACATATGCCTCACACGCTTCACATACTCACTAGATTTTTTCAGGTAAGCATGAGCATAGACCTTCTATTTAGCTATGTATGTAGACTATAACATCATAGTGTGCATTATATATTGTAGTGATAGTACTTTTTTTCCAAGTTTGGTATTTATCTTTCACATGTTAGCTTAGGAATCCGCACAAACACATGTATATGTCAATGATTAATGTACCATGTAACACTTTCTTCATTACTTTTATTTTGTTTCACCAACAACAGCAATGGGTAATGACAAAAATGAAGAGCATGTAGGCAAATGCACCATTGTTCTCCATTTGTTTATCAAAAGTAAGTAAAGTGTCTGTATGCACACTGTTATCTTGACATTTAATGAATCAGAGAGTATAAAAAAAGAAGGTCATTTATTTATTAGGCTATTTTTTTCATCTTGGCAAAGAATAGAAATTCTTCTTGCCTAAAAATGTAACATCGGAGAGAAGTTAGCTATCCATGAAAACACTATTTGGGGCCTTTTATTTCATAGGATTGGAGCTTGTTTGTATTACTATCACCTTGCAGACTCACCTAGTGTGTTCTTATTGCTCTTACTGACATATTCTTTGTAAGTGTTAATGAAGCTTACTCCATTTGGTATTTTTACAGCTCAGACAATGGAATACCTTTGGATCCCTTGATGAAACATCTGGTTCTGATACAGAAATATTTCCATTATCTGTGGTGACAGAAGAAGATTGTGAAATTCTGAAAATCTCAGCCAAGGATTATGCCAACTTTAAGACTGTATGTTGTCCACATCTTTTTATTCTTAAATTTTTATGTAACCTTGAGACATAAAGATTTGGTTTATTTGATGATGTTCATTTTAAGAAGCTTCTGTTGGTAGTGAGCGCTTGAGAAGAAAGCAAATTCTCTTTGGATGCATCTATACATTTTTGACTATTTTTTCCCCTGAATTTTAAGCTTATTTATTTATTCAGTAAATCAGCAAGTGGGTGTTTGGGTATCAAAGCATGTTGGCTATCAAAGCAAAATTATACTAAATGATCGAATGACTAGAATTTCTACTTCTCTTCTATCTTAGTCTTATTTTGGAGTAAAGGAATGGTATTTCAAAATTATAACAGACATCCAATCTCAGAGTTGCATGAGTATGTAATCACAACTGAATTCTGGTCTCCTAATTCTGCTGCTTTAAGATGATTCATTTATGCAAAACAATTAATCTGATAGTAAAATTCTAAAATGTCCCTCTCTGTTTCAGTTTCTCTGAATGGTAGAGGAGAATCTCCATGGTTCTGCCTTCAGTTTTTTTTGGCAAGGCCTTAACCCTTGTACAGATCCTGCAGGGTGCTGGCATGTCCAGTGCTAATATCAGAGAATATAAAATATTCTTATTCCTACTTTTCATCTGTAGTAAGGAAATTATATTTATAGTATTATTTTTAATAATAATGTGATATTTTTCTTAGAGTTCAACTCTATTCCAAGTACAAATTGTTAATTTGTTTTGATTTTTAAAATTGCTGACTTAAAATTATTTTTGGTTTTATTTCTCCAGTAGTATCACCCACATGATACTATCAGATATACATTTTGAATGCAGTCTTGACTGTGACAGGGTTTAAAATGCTTATGTTTATAGAAGCATAAATGTTATGAAAGAAAGATGGAAAATAGAGTTTTAAAAAGCATGTCTGAAGATTAAAATTTCTCAATAAAGTTGAAATGTATTTTATACTCATTTATTCTTAATGTTTTTTTCTTTTCTTTCTCTCCTACTTCTTCACTACCTAATACTAGAAGTTTGAAAATTACATTCTCTTTCAGGAAAATTCAAAGTATGATAAAATGCAAAAGATGAAACTGATTCGTAAGTGTCCTTATTATGAAAACTGGCCTACTTTATCCATATATGAACTAACTTCATTCACTAAATGGAAAAAATTTCCTCCAGATCATGGTGAGTTTAATTTTAGATAATTTTTCTTTACATTACAATATGATTTTGGAATTTATAAATTGTCATAATTTCAATATTTAAATCATAGTGGTTTATTAGCTGTTTTCTAACTTACCTATTGATTAATATTGAATTAGGTATTTTGATTATGGAAAATTAATAGTGCTATTACACTGGTGTGATTATCTCTTAATTTCTTTCAACCTGGTCTTCTTGCCCAACCTGGATGTTCCAGTGGTAGACAAACTGAAAAGAAAAAATTTTAAAAAATGTTATGGTCATTTTCCCAGTTGTTCTGATTGGAAAACTAAGCATCATTTGTTAGCCTATAACTGTGCTAATATTACCAATGAGAAAAATAACAATTACAGATTGAGTAACTCTTATGCAAAACTCTTGCAAAAAATAAACTCAAATTTTGATTCTTAAAATTTTGAAATATTTTATATGTATAATGAAGTATCTTGGAGAGTGTACTCATTTCAACATACAGTTTACTTATATTTCAAATACATTCATGGAGTATGTAATTTTAAGTAACATTTTTAGTGTATTTGTGTTGTGCACTTTCACATGAGATCAAGAGGTGAAATTTTCTGTTTGTGAAATTTTGTTGGCCTTGAGATTTTTTTTAAATTTTGGATTTTTAATCGTTTAGATTAGGCAAACTCACCTGTACATAGAACAATGGAGGCTTAGATAAGAGAATATAAGCACCGAAGAACCTCAGTATTAAGCATGGAAAAGGCATGTGGATTTCCTGAGGTGCTTTCACTAAAAATGTAGATGACATCCTGATCGTAAGTGCACCAAAGATAACCATCTAAACACTGCCCACTAACATCAGAAGATCCACAGCAGGATAGGTCAGGGTTTTGGATCTTCTTCAGTAAAAATCATTTTTACCTAAGAGCAGACAGACATCAACAACAGAGAAAAGAGTGAAACCTTACAATTTTCTCTTCCCAATAAAACAGTGGACGAGCTAGTTCCCAAATCATAATGGAAAAGGAAGTGTTTAGAGGCAGTATTTCCACACAAATCCTACATCTGTGGTTGTAGTGAGACTCAATTCTAAATTAAAGAAAGTTTTAAAAAGAATGAGGCTGAGTTACAAGAGACTGTTTTAGTAATAACAACACAGTTCAAAAATCATAGGATTTAATAAATATATCTTTAAAAGTAATCATTATGCAACATGAAAGTGAAATACAGATTACCGTGATACAGTAGGCTTTTTGTTAAAGTTGGAAAAATAAATATCATTAGAGGTCAGTTCATGCTTCAAGGAACAGGGATATTCTAATAAGCTGAGTACATTTGATAGGATTATATATGTTCAAAATTTCCTTCAAGTCTTATAATCATATTTTATTCATAATGTTTGAAATACAGCATGTAAACTGTTTAATTTAGTATATAGGTATTTGTATTGATTACAAAAATTAAGTAATAGTAACATTTTTTAAAATAAATGATTTTTTCTTTGTGAATAAATGCCAAAAATAAATGCCATTTTAAAATTGAAAACATGTATTGAATAATAAACAATAAACTCATTATAATTGGGAATTTAACACTTAAAATGTGTCTACATTTTACTGATTGCATAAAGTAAATTTTTGACTGTGAATATCTTGGTATATCCTAAGCTTTCTCCTCTTTATTGGAAATAACTAAAAACTGGTCCTTGCCTCACTCTCTTGATCATCTTCTATAAAAATAATATCTCACCTCATCAGTGTACCATTTTACTGTTATTATGTCCATGAGTGAAAGAAAAGAAAGAAACCATATGTAAAATATTTTGAATTATGTGAGCCAAAAGAATATGGAATTTAGCGGGAGTGGATTGATACTACTTCTACTAGTTTCTGTAAATAATGTATCTATCTCTATGTGTCTAATATCTATGTAAAAAACTTCCATTTAGCCTTTGAGAGCTAAAACGATACTGTACCTTGCACATTTTTGCTTAGTCTATTACTGACTTCAATTGCCATTTTGGATGGGAAATGTCTTGAAAAGCAACAAAAGTGTCTGTGAAATTATATCTTCCATTGGATAACTTGTTGTTATAACGAATAAGTAGAAGAGAAATACTTTTCTCTGATTCCCAGACATATGAATGCATGATGCTCATAGTCACATAACCTCAGGAAATATCCTGCTTAGAGCAGAATGGCAAGTTTATCTGAATACCATTCAAGCCTCTTTTCATTACTGTGGTACTCTTCTTACCAAAAGCATTCCTCCCATCCTAGTACTAAACAGGGCCATTGAACAACTGACATAAGGAAGGTTAGATATCTTTTGCTAGTGTGTGAATCAAGAGATGCAACCTACTGGAGAAAGGAAGGATGGGTGAATACAGTCCTAATATCCAATGTACCTGTGTTTAAAAAAACATGGGAAAAGAACACGGGAAAATGTAGTTAAAAATTAATGTATACCTTATAAAATTAAGAAAGTGAGGGCTGGGGTGGGTTGGGAGATGGTTGAAAGGATGACATTGATCAATATATGTTATATTTATAAACTGTTTCTTAAATGGAAACTCCTCTGTACAATTACTTAAAAAATAAAACATGAGAACTAGGTAAAAAGAGGGTTGATAGGGTTAGAAAAGATGGGGGAACACAATGGAAGGAATGACATTGAACTCATTAACTGTTATGTTTATGTGAAACCCCTTTGTCAAAGTCATAAAATATAAATAGATAATAAAATATAAAATAATGAATAAATAAATAGAAGGCAGTCAAATTAAGGAAAATAGAGAGAACTAAAACAAGCAGCTCCCTGCCCGCCCCCCGCAAAAATAAATAACCAAATAACATTCCAAAGTGAAGAATACGTTCTGTGACAATGATCTAATTTTCTTCAAGGGAAGTGACAAAATTACTATCTCAGAAAAGGATCAAATATAATACTTTTCCCATTTATGATTTATATTGAATTATTATCAGAAAATGCAGAGGATGTAACTCAAATTATATTTTCATAATCTGGGCTTAAAATTAGCAGGAGTATGATTTATAAAGCATAATCATGTGTATTTTGATCTTATTTCAGGAATGTATATTGGATAAAGTTTCAGAGGGATTTTGTTAGTTATTTCAAAGCTTAATAGAGTTTAGAATTAATCCTTGACAGTCTCTGAAATAACCAAAGCTTATTCTTGGCTCTATTTCCTTTGTTAAATTCTTAAGACTTCTTACTTTTGCTTTATTTACCATGGGAGCATGAATATCATGAGTGTCTATGATGTTACTTGTAACTTCAGCCATTTTAGCTTGTATCACATCAGAGTCTTCCCAGTTGCTGTGTGGAAAATACAACTAATTTAATTTATTCATCAACTCTTCATACATATAAATGATTTAAATACATACATGTGTATACATATATGTATACATATAGATATTCATTTATACACACATCAAATTATATATACATACATATAGGTATACATTTATACACACATTAAATTAACTTCATGGTAGATAAAAGGTTACTAGAGAGAAATAAAACACTTAACAAAGAATTGACATGTATGCACTAAGAATAACTGAATGTTATTGGTTCTAATATCTAATAAAAGGAAATAGATTACTGGATTGAAGTTTTTAAAAAATATTGTTTGCCTACAAGAAATGTACATTACTGGTAAACATAAACAGAGGCTTCAAGGGAAAGTATGGCAGATTTTTCCAATGGAACCGCCACTGGAATTCTTGCATCTAAAATACCAAACTTTAAAACAAAATTAATCAGAAGAGATAAAGAAGGTCTGTTCAACTGAGAAAAAAATTATCAAGAGATTGTGACAATTGTAAACCGTATTTACTGAGTGCCAACACACTCAGTTTTGTAAAATAAGCAATACTAGACATAAAAGCTCACAACAGCACTTGTGGGTGGCCTCAATGTCCTCCCCTCTTCCCATCTATTGTGAGGTCATTCAGATAAAAAATTCTTCAAGATCAAAAGATATTATGGATCCAATATACTTAACAAACATCTACATAATATTTCACAAAACATAGAGGATACACTTGCTAGGGAGTTCACATAGCTCTTTCAAAATGAGAGATTATATTTTAGACATAAACAAGTAAACTAGGACTAGGAAAGGAATCAAGAACAGACACAACATAAATATTCAATCACTGAAAAACTGAACAATTCACTTTTGAATAATCAAGTGGGTCAATGAAGCAATACAGGAGAAATAAAAAAAAAAAACTCTTAGATCCTTCATTCTTATAATCATATGAAAAAAATCAAATCACAACAACAAGAAGAGCAAAATTTATAACTATGAAGCATATGCTTGAAAAATTGCAAATATTTGAACAGTTTGATTCATATAAATTCCAATATTATAATTAGATTATACTATTCACCCTGTGATAGGCATAAAATTATTCCCCTGTGATATCTTGACTTGCTAATTGTGAAATTGAAAATACATACTCATTTGATAAATAATGAGTGTTATGTGGCAAAGTGTCAATTACAAGAACTAAAGATAATTCCACTGGAACTATCCAGGTGGACCCAGTGTGCCACCACATGGATCAGAAGATGCAGATAGGCTTAGGCTCAGAGGAGAAGGCCATATGAAAACAAGAACCTATTGAAATGATGTATTCAGAAGGCAAGGGATCTCAAGGCATGGAAGCAGCCAACAGCATCTAGAAAAGGGGTGCTGGTATACTTTGTGGAGGGGAAGGGAAAAAACAAATTGTTTAAATAGGGATACATGTGGACCCATTGCAACAATGAGATGTACAAGGCATTATGTCGAAAAACGAACTTTACAACTTTGGTGGGGGGGCAGGGGGGTGTTGGGTTGGAGGGGTGGGAAAGATGAGAGGGATGGGAAGGGGAAACAAAGGAGGAGGCAACAATGCTTGATAAGAAATGTACTCATTACCTTACTCATGTAATTGTAACCCCTCTGTACGGTATTTTCACAATTTAAAAAAAAGAAT